CGTCATTGTGCATTAATCAACTGTTGATGATATCTGAAGCGAGAATTCGAGTATAGAAGACCTCCTGACTATCACAAATCCTGGTAGTTTGGTTTCATATTAAAAACCATAATTCTTAATTACGAGAAATTGCATATATAGTGGATGTCATATATAATTTCCATGAGTTGGTTGGTTTATTCAACATATATACCTGGTCCCAACCATATGCGTTCCAGGCAAGGGTGAGATCTGGATTAAGGCGTACAGGGCCATTATCATAGAACAGTGATATTTCACCGGAACATCCTGGTCCTCCATTCAGCCATATTGCTACCGGAGCGTTCGGATTATTCCCCCTCGTCGGAAAGAAAAAATAGAACATCCTGAAAATCATGGAAGAAAACAATCAAACGGTGGGACTTCTTATCACGGACATTTAGCTACTTACCTGGTTGCTTTAGTGTTGGGAAGGGAGTAATATCCAGCATAATGACCAAACTGCTGAAGAGAAGGGCCTGGAGTAATGTTCAAGAGAGAGATAGTCGAATTGATTTGCTTCTCTAAACCTCTTACTCTTAAAGCGATTGAGAAGCATGAAGAACAAGAAAGAAACGTGAGAAGAAGAGAAAAGAACCAAGTTGAAGAAGTATTCATTGTTGTTGGTTGATGTGGGTTCATGGAATGGAATCACAAAGAATAGAGTTGAGTTTATATATCTAAGGTGTAGCTCAACCTTTCCAATGGTTGTGCTGCAGTTCTTTATTTATGTCGTCAATTCAATGGATTTGAGTAAATTTCTCCAACAAAATTGAGATAAAAAGGAAACGAATTGAAAGAATTATGATCATGCCTTCATTGAACTTGGTAACTTATTACTGTTAAAAAAAACTTGCTAACTTATCTAGTTTTAAAAATTCGTAATGAAAAACATATTTTATTTTAAAGCATGTAGGTCAATTTTGAAAAGATAACAGCATGGCGATGTCCAAAAATTTATTATTTCGTAATAGGTAATGTCCAAAATATTTTATTTAGTTGCGTAATTTTTATTTGTTTAATTTAATTTGAATTCGAAGGATATAATTATCAGGTGCAATGAATTCTCTCCTACTAATGATCGATGTAGTTTGATTAAGGGTTCAATACTAATCATCTACCAGTATTCTCAGGTGTATATCAAGTGCGTGAGATCAAAGAAGAGTCAACAATGATCGAAATCGACACCATTTGATATATTGAAATCCTTACAATTAAGAGTTGATATGATCGTAGTATTCTTCAACATTTCTTTGGCACATTTCAATTCATATGATTTTTATAAATTTTTGTTTTATAAAGCAGAGTTAAAATGAATGAGATATAGTTTGTTGAATTTGCAAGAAATTGAAAAACTCTTAACTATAGCTATTGATATTTGTCCCAACAGTAACTAAAGGAGGTTATGCATCAAAATCTCAACTCTTTTTTACATGAGATGTTTGGAAATAGAGCTGAAGCACTGTTTTGTCAATTATATGATTTTTCATTCGGAATATTTTTTGAGGCATATAATCAGTAAATAATGTAATCAATTTTGTAGCTACTGCTTTCAAACTGCGAAATATTTGGTGAAGGCTTCATTTCACCTCTAAACATGTCTTGTTAATGAATGTTGATTTCTTTAAGAATTATAGATTTCTCTCTTATTTGATGTGAAATTTGTCTAGATTTGTCATGTAGTTTTTGTTTTAATATTCGCTTGAGAACACATTTTTAGAAGTTCTTTTTTTTGTGAAGACCAATTTATTTATGTGAAGATCAAAAGATGAAATACCATGCAAAAAGCCCAAACTCAGGCAATTATGGTACCTGACGTCATTATAATATCTTAGAGCAAATTAAATGTGAAGTAGAAGGACACAAATCATAATTAAATAAAAAAAGAGAAGTAGAATGACACATATAACCTTCCTTCAAATGCGCACAGGCCCTCCTTTTCCAGTTTAACCCCATCCTCCCGTGGAATGTCTATATATTAGTGTGTAGAGATAGATAGATCTACACAAACATATAAGGCAATGTCAATAAACAAGTATTGCCACATCAGCCGATGGTGTTTAAACCGCATAAGTCGGAGGGACTAATTAGTCTTCTCCTCTCCCTGCCTTTTCGCTAAAATCGTCCGCAGCGGTTACTTTTTTTCCCTTAACATCTTACAATCCCACCAATTAATTTTCTCCATTTCTACAAGGCCACGACCACTATTCCATATCTTATACTAAAAACAAATCACTAATTTTGTGGAATTTCAATCTTTCTTTTGAAGCCACCTGGACACTAAATTTATTATTTCCCTTTTGTTGTAGGTTTCCTCCTTTTAATTTATTTTGCTCTTATGATCACTAATATTTTCATAATATGAAAGTGGTATGATCACTAATATTTTTGTCCAAAATGTAGCAAAATGAATATCATTGTGTCTATCATAATTAATGCATTCTTTATATGTAAATTTTTTTAAAATTTTTTTGAGTTAAAACAAAAGAGATATGACTCAATTATAAAAAATGGAAGATTAGAAAAATTTGCATTTGATTGGTAAAAAATCTCTCCCATGTTTTCTAAATTCGCGTTAGTCAAAGAAAAGAAAGTGGGGCACGAAACTAACAGTCCATCCATCTTATTTTTATATGAGTTGTGGGCCGTTATATGGGATTTTAATGGGTAGTTATCATAAATGGTCACAAAACTAGTCACTTTGCACAAAACGGTCACAAATCTTTAATTTTGCACGTTTTAGTAACATATATTTGGACTAATAACAAAACGGTAATTCCGTCCATTTCCATCCAAAATTCTGTTAGTTTGGTCTAGTCAGCTGTCGCGTCAACATCCACATCATCAAAATAATTAATAATTAATAAAATAAAAACCATTTAAACCCTAACCAACCCACCACCCCAATCCAACCCAACCCATTCCTTCTATCTCATCTCCCTCTCCGCCACATCTCCACACAGCTAAGAAGATCAACGACGCCGCCACCGAACATTACGCTGTTCAACTCCTCCGAATTGAGCGGCCCATTGCTGTCTGACTTCGGCTGGGCGGCGGACCAAGCAGATGGTGGAGAGAGGGGATCTAAACTCCACCCGAACAACAGGATCGGAATCGAATATACTCAATCAAAGCAACCACAATCAAGCAAGTGACGACAGCGATTCCCTTTCTTCTTTACTCCTCTGCCTTCCCTTTCCCCCGGCTAGGGTTTTCGAACCCCAATAAAGGAAAGACAATGATTCCCAAGCTCTACGTTTCTTTCTACCTTGTACGCGTTCCAAAACAAAATTTGCCTGCAACACTTTCTCGTGGTAGTTCTTTCATCTCTGGTGCGTTTGGGGGATCTGAGATAGAGGGGGCAAATGGCGATGGATGGATTAGGTGGAGGGGATGGAGTAGTGGCTTTCTATTCGTCAATTTGCAGGGGAAGGAAATTGAAAAAGTTGTTGATCTTCCTCAGCTGTGCGGAGATGTTGGGTGGCAGAAGAGTGGGAGAGGAGATAGAGAGGAATAGGTTGAGTTGGATTGGGGTGGTGGGTTGGTTATGATTTAATTTGTTTTATTTTATTTTTTATTAATTATTTTGATGATGTGGATGCTGACTGGATAGCTTATTAGACCAAACTAACAGAATTTTGGATGAAGATAGACGGAATTACCTTTTTGTTATTAGTCCAAACATATGTTACTGAAACGTGCAAAATTGAAGATTTGTGACCGTTTTGTACAAAGTGAATAGTTTTGTTACCATTTATGATAACTACCCGGATTTTAATAGGTGGTTACATATTAAAGTTCTATAGGTATTGTAGAATGGAGTTTCGTATCATATTCTTATCCTTTCCAACAACAAGTTTATAGAAATTGGGTTTTCGATAGAGCAATAAAAATTTGGATTTTAATAATAACATTAAGTTCTTTTACATAAAAAAAAAAAAAAATAAGAAGAAGAAATTCGTTAAAGAAAGAAAGAGACGGAGACAAAAATAAACTATTGATTAAGGGGCGTATATTATGGGCACACAAATAATTAATTCATCAATGGATTTGAAAGTCGAAACTAATTTTTTTTATTTAATTATAGAAACTAATTAACATGAATATCCTTTTAACTTTAGCCTATATGAAATTGTTTATTTCCTCATTAACTTCATCTATTAAGTAAAATCATATTATTTTTATCTTCAAAGTCCCACTTAGTTTAATACAAGGTATCTTATAATTTTAAGATGGAGCTTAAAATTTTTATTAATTTAATATGTAGTTTTGTCTCTAGATATCTTCACTAAATTTTCCAATTATAACAATTTTCAAAAAATTTAATATTTTCTAACGAAAACTAAGAGATTTAGACACTCATCCACGGTTTAGAATTTTTATAAAATAACATATTAATTCACAAAAAAACTACCCGGCCAATCGGCCGGGCCACAATCTAATAGATGTAGATGTAGATAGATAGATAGATAGGAAAGAAAGAAACCGGCGGGAAACCTTGTGGGTCTCTTATTAATTTCTTTTCTGCACTTTGATTGGCGCTTCACCTCCCTTATCCGCATAGAGCAACGTAACTGGAGCGGCACGAGAAATCACCTAAACTAAAACAGAAAAAGAAAGAGAAATCAATCCAGAGTGACTTTTTGAGCGAGAAGAGAAGCAAATCCCTGTGTATTTGGAAGCTATAGATCTGCGCCAGAGACGATACCGATGGAGCAGTGGGCGTGAGCGATATTTTTCTTGGCGGCGAAGGAGAGCTCTGGAGAATAGAGCCCGCTACTGGAGGTAGAGCTCTAGAGCCGCTCCCTCCTTGTTCTTTCGTCTTCTATTGACAACGCGTTGCGCTAATCTCATAATCCGTTTTGTTTTTTCTGGTGTATCAGGATACCGCTCTTTGTTGTTGCAAGCCTCCTGCCAAGAAAAGGTAAACATCTAGTAAGTTAGTGGATATCGCTTCTCCGAACCATAACATCCACCCATCCGTTTTGCTTGCTAGTGAAAGTTGAATGATCAAAACCTGTTCCCAGTTCCCTGTTTGGTTGATGATCAATACTAGATATATTTTCTTTCTCCGTTGAGAGCTGAGTCTAGCCTTTTGGGATTTGACGTGCTTGAGGAGAAGAATGTGGACTTATCGAATAAGATAGAGGAAGGGTTTTGGACCAATTAAATGAACTGCTGGGGATTCTATCAATTACAGATTGGATGTACGAACTGATTAATGCTTTTGCTGTATCTCTCGGGTCCCAGAAAATTGATTGTTTATATGGATGGGTTTGCATGTCTTGGTGAAATCAAGTGCTGAAGATTGTCGAGATCTAAAGAAGCGATGGAAGCCATTAGAGAGAGTGGAAGACATGCTTGATAAATCCGATTGTGTGTGCTGTCTTTGATTATTACATGGGGCAGGCAGAGTTTCTTTTGCAGTATTCATTTCCTTGGGAGAAAGTGGAGATGGTATCTGGAAGTTGTCCCCGCTTATATACGGAGTGCATAAACTTCATCTTAAGCTTCTTATTGATTTGCTTGGATTTGTGCTCAGGGATCTCATTAATTATTGCCTCAACATCTTCTACGTAAGTCCAAGGTATATATGTATGGTACATCCTCGTCTTATTTTATCATCACTTCACTTCACTTCACTTCACTTCTACCTCATAGGTATGAAGTTGCTGACTTATCCTCGCACTAATTAACAGTTGTAACCCTTACCACACAAGTCAGCTTCTTAGAGGAGATAAAGAAGGAACTTGAAGATCCCAGTACAAGGTAACCCTTAGATTCTTAGCTCAAGTATCTCCAGTGAATTGATTGTCTTAATCAGGTCATCTATCCAACCTGCATGTATAGATGCATACACTGTCAAGTAGGGGAATGGGTTTTATCATTTAGCATCTAATTTCGTGAATCTATTCCCTATGGTCAGTGTGACCTTTTCTGGACCTTGTGATGAATGCAATGCATGCTTTGATCTCTGTACTCTAGTGCTAGGTTACAGAACTGTCCAGCCCTGAAGTCCAAAGAGGAATGCTACATATTTGCATTTGAATCTTCAACAATATATATATATATATATTATGCAATGGATAGGTTGTGTGTAGTTTAGGCTTGTGGCAGTGGCATCTCTCATATGTGTTGTAAAGTTTTCATGCACCGCAATTGCTCCGTATAATATAGCTATCAATGCTGCACTTTTTATACATTATTATTATTATTAGTCATTGAGATTCCAGTTTTTGACTTGCGAACATGATTCTAAATTTGTAGGCCTGTGAGAACAATGGATAGAAGTTGGATACATGAGCCTAATAGATTGAGTGCTAAGTTTTTGAAAGGGCTTTATAATTTTATTCTTTTTGCCAAAGCTTCCGCGAGAGATGGAAGATTTGCTTGTCCTTGTCGAAAGTGTGTGAACATGCATCGGTTCTCACCAGGTGTTGTTTCTTCTCATATACTGGAAAATGGGTTCTCGCCGGGGTATACAGATTGGATTTTCCACAGAGATCCAACCTCTCAAACTAGTGATTCTAGTTATTCCCACCAAAATGATGATGGACTAAGAGAAGTTGATGCACAAGAGCAACACGGCGTTCAACAGTTTCTTGAGGATATGGCTGTTGGTTCTGATGAGATTGAAAATTCAAGATCAACCAGGGTAGAAAATGATTGGGGTGATAGCTCCACTATTGATGATGACACCCAACCAACTGAGGCATATGAATATGCCAAAAGGTTCCATGATTTATTGGAAGAATCTGACGAGGAACTTTTTAGTGGATGTCGTAAGCATAGCAAACTCTCATTTATCCTTGAGTTATACAACAAGAAGTGTATGTATGGATGGAGTGATAAGTCTTTTGAGGACTTACTGACCACAATGAGGGAGACGTTGCCTGAAGGGGAAAAACTTCCAGAGTCATCTTACGAAGTCAGAAAGTTAATTGATGCATTGGGTCTTGATTACCAAACAATCGATGCATGCCCAAATGATTGTATGCTGTTCTGGAAAGAACATATTGATGAGCCTAGATGCTTACACTGTAATGCATACAGATACAAGGAAGAGACTGAAAGTTCATCGACTTCAAAAAGAAACAAGATTCGAAAGGGAGTGAAAGTACTCCGTTGGTTTCCTCTGATTCCAAGACTTCAAAGGTTATTCATGTGCAAAAAGACGGCTTCTTTAATGAGGTGGCACTTAGATGAACGCAGGGACGATGGGTACTTGAGACACCCTGCGGATGCTCGTGCATGGAAAGATTTTGATAGTCGATATGCTGACTTTGCTAAGGAGCCGCGCAATGTTCGACTAGGACTGGCCACTGATGGGTTTAACCCTTTTAGGTCATTAAGTAGCACTCATAGCAGTTGGCCAGTGGTTGTAACTGCCTACAATCTGCCGCCCTGGTTATGCATGAAACAGTCTTCTTTGTTCTTGTGCTTACTCATTCCTGGACCTAAATCACCCGGAGCTAATATAGACATCTACTTGGAGCCCTTTATTGAAGAGTTGATTCATTTATGGGAAAAAGGAGTTGATACATATGATGCTCACGCGAAGACTACTTTCAAGTTGCATGCATCGTTGCTATGGACTATAAATGACTTTCCGGCTTATAGCATGTTATCAGGTTGGAGAACGAAAAAAGGCTATGGATGTCCATGCTGTGGCTTCAATACTTGGTCAAAATGGTTAAAGCATGGTAAGAAATATTGTTTTTTGGGGCATCGTCGTTTTTTAAGCTATGATCATTCATGGAGAAGAAATAAGAATTGTTTTGATGGCACAGAAGAGTTTAGAGGACCACCTGTTCGGATGACCGGATCTTGCATTCGTGATTTATGGGATTCTAATGGATCAACAAGGGATCTAAATGGTACAAACATAAACATCACGGAGGGGTGCAAAAAGAAAAGCATATTTTTTCGTCTTCCTTATTGGGAGTACAATCGAGTTAGACATAACCTTGATGTCATGCACATTGAAAAGAATGTATGTGATAACATTTTAGACACATTGTTAAGTGTTCGAGGGAAAACCAAGGATAACGTGAAGGCTCGCTTTGATATGCAGGAAATGGGTATAAGACACACTCTTCACCCATTTGAGTTGTCTACTGGGAAATACAGAGCAGCCCCCGCTCTTTTTGAGATGTCTTCGACAGAGAAAAAACAAATGCTTCGTGTGCTAAAACATGTGAAGGTACCTGATGGTTATTCTTCCAACATATCTCGTTGTGTAGATGTGAAACACAAGAAGATAAGTGGTTTGAAAAGTCATGATTGTCATGTATTACTACATGATTTGTTACCGGTAGCAGTGAGGGGATGTCTGAAAGATAGAGTAGCTAGAGCCTTAATTGATCTGAGTGCTTATTTTAGAGAACTAAGTTCTAAAGTTCTTAAAGTAAGTCGTCTTGAGGAGATGGAAGTAGAGATTGGAGAAATATTGGCTCGTATGGAGATGATATTTCCTCCATCATTTTTTACTATCATGGTCCACTTGGTCGTACATCTTGTAGAAGAGGCCAAATGGAATGGACCCGTGCAATATCGATGGATGTATCCAATAGAGAGGTACACATTTAATTTACGTACTTTGATATTAACTTTTGAGTTTTAGTCACGACACACACACACATATATATATGCTCTTAGATTTTATGTGGTTTGTTGACTTCTCATTGAAGATAATTCTTATCAAGAAATTGGGTGGGTTGTTTTAATTTCAGTTTACTGTTTCTGTTTTGGCATTCTAGCCCTTATCATAGCTGAGAATTTCCATTGAAATGTTTGGACTCCATCTACTCTTTAAGCTATGCAATATATTATTTGCTTATGAAAAATGTATTCTCAATATAGGTACTTGATGACACTCAAAGCTCATGTTGGGAACAAGGCTTATCCTGAAGCCTCAATTGCTCAATGGTACATTGCAAATGAAGCAATTACATTTTGCTCTAGATACTTTGAAGGAGTCAGAACAAGATTTAATAAACCTGCAAGAAATAGTGATGACATGGATCTGTTGAGAACGGAAGATTCCCCTGTGAACACTACTTCAGGTCATCCCATTGGAAAAGTAGAAAATATTATCCTTAATCCTACTTCTTGGGTTCAGGCTCACCGATATGTGCTATACAACTCAAAGGAAGTTCTCCCATACATAGAGTATGTTCTCCTTTTCTCCTATTAGCTAGTCTTAATTTCCTTTTATTACTAACTAGAAATTCATTATAATATTTGCTTATCGGATTGACAGAGAGCATAAGGATGAGATTAAAAGGAAACTTTCAAGCAGAAATCGTAGAAATAATGCTTCTCGTCTAATTGAAATCGAGAAAGTCCACCATTCCACCTTTGTTGATTGGTTCAAAGGACGGGTGAGTGCCTTCTTTCGTTTAATTGTGTCCTTATGAACTTAGCTAGATATAGCATTGCCTAAATAAAAAAGTTACATAATTTTTATTTTCACTTTTCTTCTATCATGTACGCTGTAATACGATGTCGTCAATTAGGTTTGACATTCCTTTCGATATACCAACATAATTAGTAGCTGTTGATTTCCCTTTTTTTTGCTGTGAGTATATAGGTAGCTAGGCTAGAGGAGATGCATGATCCGCGATTTACTGCTGAACTGAAAGGGCTAGCCCGAGGTCCGAACTATGGGGTTAGACAATTTAAAGGTTACATCACCAAGGGAGTCAGATATCATGCAAACTGTCGTGAAGAGGAAAGAAAAACTCAAAACAGTGGCGTTGTTGTAGCAACAAAGACCTCAAGTTTAGAAGGTGAAATTTTAAATTATGGACGGATAGTTGACATGATTGAGTTGAACTACTTCGAAAGGTTCAGAGTAGCTCTATTTAAGTGTGAATGGGTTGACGTGGAACGTGGAAGAGGGTTGAAAAAAGATGCATACGGATATACTATGGTGAATTTTTCAAGATTGATTCACACAGGGTCTAATATACGTGATGAGCCTTTTGTCTTTGCAGATCAAGTTAGGCCTGTATTTTACATTAAAGATTCACAGGAACCTGATTGGTATGTGGCACTTCGAACAAAGCCTAGAGACACATATGAATTGGGTGATGAATTAGTTTATCAATCGAAAAATGCCGATCAATCACTCTCGGTGGAAAACGTTGGTCGAGCTAGTGAAGATGAAAATTGGGTTCGCAATGATTTACATCCTGTAGTATTTGAGTATGTAGATCCTGGTGTCGCTGCTACAACGAGTGTCATGTCGGAAGATGAAGCATAGACTTTGGAAGTTTTACTTTTCAATTTGACTTTTCATTTTTCCGATGAACATTGGGTTGTACTTAGTTTTCATTTGAAATGACAATGTTGATTCACTCGAATTGTGTGATAAAAAATTAGCTGAATGTTTTCTTAATTGTTCCTGTTATCAATTGGAGTGCATTGAATAATTGGTGCGGAGCCTGTTGGAAGCAACATATTATCCGTGGGAAAGCCTGGTAAGGACACCATTTTCCTTCTATACTTTCCCTATGCGAGGACTCAGCTTCATTCTCTTTCTGCAGTTTCATTAATTTGTTTATGTGAACTCAAATTGAATGTCCTCGTAGGATTCAAGCCATTGGGGGATGAAGAGGTGTACAGCTTTAGGTCTGATCAGAATACGGAAATACATGTGTTATGTCTGCAACATAGCTACTGCCTCTTCTAAAAGCTTCCTCCTTCATTGTCATTTCTAATTGAAGATGTGTTGGTTTAAATGTATGCAGATAGTGTGTTGGTCTTGATTTCTAGTCCACCTGGTTATGGAGTTGGGCTATTGGACACAAGGAGGTATGGTGAAGTATGCTAAGTGGAGGTGAGGATTCAGAAATGCATACTCCTTGACCAGAGAATGTTGTAAAAAATTGGTATTTTGGCTTGACTCAATCTTCTAGAATCAACACAATTCGCTAGAAATGTGATTATTCACATGAATTTGCTCATAAAGTGAAATAAGAAAGTGGATATAAAATCTGAGCAGTTAGCAGATAGCTCGAATAGAAAGAAGCCCCATTCCATTTTGGTCGGTTTCTTTGTCTAGTCTCATCTCATCACAGACTAGCCGGCGCATGAGAGTTGACTTAGCGGCAGCGGTTTGTTGTCTTTGAGCTGTTCTACTTTTGTTTTCATGCAGATTTATGGAGTTACCACGATTCACATGAATTTTAGATGATGAAATTCAGACAGTCAATTATCGAATTCCACGGGATTGGCACTGGGTGGAATCATAGAGGTAAGTCTAGGATCTGCCTCTCTATTTGGCATTCTTTTACTGTCTTCTATTATGCCCTTTATTAATTTTCATAACTGTCAACTGGGATATTTTTAACTTGATCCAGCCTAACTTAGGTGTTTCAACTCAAATATATGTATCGACTCTGCAAACTTATTGATCTGAAGAACAAGTTGCTCCTAGAAAATCCCATTAATTGTTTGGCCTGCAAGCCTTTTTAGTTTAGTAGGCCAAAATCATGTTCCAGCCTATTCCAAGAAAAATTCCCAACATGGTTTGAGTGATGTTGCCTTTCAGTTCCGACGATTCAAGCTTTGGAACATGCTTTAGAATTGAAGTTTTTGCAGCATTTTCTACATGTCCCCTTGTTATATGTATCCATTTTGCGTGCGTTGCACTTGAAAGAGTTATATTGTATTTTTCCAACATTTTAATGTCAATGGTATCCGGTCAAATCCCTTTAGTCCACCACAACTTTTAGGCTACGATGTTCAACGTTGTTTTGGGTTTTGTTTGCTATAATTAAACTTGATTGCATTAGAAATATCTTACATCATAACCATTGTTTGTCTTCCTACTCTTTAATGCTATAAAAAAACTAAATATTCTTTTGGTTTTCCCTGCTGTAATGATATCTATCTCAGTCATCTTAGAATGAGGTTTCTTCTGTTGTGTCAGGTCCAAAGTGTATGCAATAATTTATAATTGCCTTACATGTGATGACCGCCCATTGCGAACTTCTGGGATATCGTATGGTGGCCACTAGAGATTGCCATTTGGCCGAGTTTATAACTAATGAAATGTTTGTGAGCACTGTGTTTAACTGTTGGTTCCATGTTCGTTAATAGCCCTCTTCAGTTTGAATACTTGGAAGCAATTTATTTCTCGGAGGCTTGGACGCTTTTTCCTGTTTGGTTTTATAAGAGAGTTAGACAGGAATCTGCGAAAATGATGTTCAGTGTACCTCTGTATCAAGAATTCTTGCACTGACGAAGGAAGGGTATCATGTTCTTAGTGGGTGCAGTTTTCTTTTATAAGGTTAATCTTAAATGTCTGGTTTCATATGTTTCAAATCTATCTTGCTTTGGCCCGAAGGAGTCGTGGACCTCAGTCAAGGTGAAAAGACCTGCACCATAAAAGAAGTCTCCCCGCCATCCTGAGTGCTTAAGAACTGGTGAGTCGCACTCAGGTTTCTTTAATTCACATGATGTTTATGGTACGTGCATGTACTGAAGATTATCTTATTGCCCATGGAAGTAGATAATAGGCTGGAGGATTGAGAATATTTTTTCTAAACTGCTTGATGCATATTCTTTAAGCTCTATGAGATTAGTTCTTCCTATACTCATCCTTATTCTTGCTTTGTTGCTATTGGGTGCTCTGTCTCTTTCAGAAGTATTCATCTGTTAAGGATTTTGGATTGGATTGAATTGCCCTGATGTCTTGCATTGTTTATTTGAAAAGATATAATCCTTTAGCTATCTAGATTTGGGTTACATCTCTCTTCTCCTCATAATATGAGTCAATCTTAAATAACAAAAAACGCAAAACTACATTATTTCGCTTCCAGATTGAGTGTCTTTTTGGGAAGTGGAGCCAATTGTTGCAGCTGCTCCTTCAAATACTCGGCCTAGAAATTGGACCAACAAGCGGTCACGACCATCATATTTGCCTTCATTGACTCCCGACCTTAAGGCCCTTGGTTGGTCATTTCCTTATTTTTACTTTCTCATTTATGTTTGAATTGGCTAGCTAGTGTCAATTACTTTTGTGGTTTTCACCTTAATATGTTAGGCATTTCGAAGACACCTATTGAACCATCTAGTCACAAACATCTTGATTCATGTGGATCCTTATACCATTCACTTCTTCAAAAATGTCGACTAACTCAGCTGGCTTCACTTCCATCATTTGCAGTTACTACCAAATCATCGATTTCTTGGCCTAAACAATTGGAGGGTGTAGTCGAGTCCATTTCCCCAGTCGTTAAGATAATTTCTAGTGACTGAAAACATGGCTCGGAGAATGGCTTCAAGTTGTTTGGCATTCAACTTGTTAATAGCTTCAATAGGGAGGAAAGTTCTCCATGTTCAGGCTTTTCAGACCCATAAAGAAGGTTTGCCTAATTCGGTCTTTGAATACTGAGTTCTACTGTCCCTTTCAGTAAGTTCTTATCCTGAGAAATCAAGGTTTTGCCTTGGATTTGCACCGCTTGCAGGTAAGGGCCTGCACAAAGGTTCAAGGAAGTTGAGATGGTGGTAGAGTAGCAGTCTCGTTCTCTCTCTTGTTGGATCAAGGATGCAAGTAACGACCACATCTTGTCCTCTCTTTGTTGGTCAAGACTTTTGTTGGGCATTTTGGGGGTGTAACTAAAATGAAGTAAATGAATGACCTGTAATATTTTGTAATCTCGTAGCAGCCGCCATGGCATTACGCATGCTGACAGGTTCCTACTTTTGGCATTTGTATTAATGCATGTTAGAAATTGAATCATGATGATAATCACCTAGGTATTGGGCAAAAATTTACACTTGTGTTTGTAACTTGTGGTAAATCCAATGTCTGCAGAAGAATTTTCTTTGAGAGCAAAAGAGACTTGAAGAGAAAATTTATACTTTGGCAGCAGTTGTTTCAAGTTAAGGTATGAATTGAATTCAGTCATTGATAGAAAGCCCAAGAGCTCCTTCCTCAAATACACCACATATATTCGTTTCGTTTCTCCATGCAGTTGGAAACTTTGGTAGCAATTTAGTGTGTAGTTTTATGGCATAACAACAAGTGATTATCCTTATCCATCATTTTGGTTTCGAACGAGAAAAAATTAGAATATGTGATCGAACCAAAAGTAAATAAAAATGGAGGGTTCAAATCACAAAGAAGCAAGTTTATTAGTTCGCTTTTGACCGATTCAAATGCAATTTTGATAGAAATTTCTTCCATATTAAAGATAATTTACAGGATCAACAATGAGTCAAACTATATAGGGTACCATTCAATTAAATTTTGAGTGGACCATGAACTAATCAAACAAACAATTTGAATCGAATCAAATAACCTAGATTGTCGTGAATAGGGGGTGAAACAATTACAATAATTTTGATTTTTTTCCATGAAAAAGAAGATATTAATTATACAAGAAGAATTTGTATCATTTTTTTCAATATCATCCTTATTAATTATATAATGATATTTCGCTCGTGACCTTTCTCTAAATGTCAGACAAGCAACACTTGTAGATGTCATCGTTACATGTCACAATCTATATGCTATGCTGACACTTCACTAGCTACACTTCTCTAAATGTCAGACAAGCAACTAAGCTATTGTGACATTTAGCTATGTGACTAGCTTATATCACAAATACTTCTTTATTTTGACACTTTTTAGTTGACACTTCTCTAAATGACAGAAAAGCGTGTTTATTGTTGTGACAATTGAAGATGTCAACATTAAATGTCACAATATATATGCTATACTGACACTTTGCTCATGACACTTCTCTAAATGTCAGACAAGCAACTAAGCTATTGTGACGTTTGGTTATGTGACCAACTTATGTCAGCAATACTTCTATATTTTGACACTTTTTTAGTGACACTTTTCTAAATGGCAGAAAAACGTGTTAATTGTCGTGACAATGGAAGATGATTTGACAATAATTTGACAAAAACCTATTGATGACACTGTTATTTCAAATAAAAATTGAACAGAAAAAGGTAAAATGATTTGACAATAATACATAATACGAAAGTTTTTAAATAGATAAAAATACGTACGATCACATATACATATATTATACGATATATGTACTAGGTTACTTGTTCAACAAGGTTGGTAATTATATAGCCTGCAGATTCATTGCCATCCATGAATATAATGAAGTTAAAAGTTGGACATGGATGGCTATACCCTATGTTGTCTTCCCTGTCCCTCTCAAAGGTTGATCCCCTCTTGATTCTGTTTCTCTGTGGATAGGTCACTGACATACTCTATTTGCCGTTATATTCACAACCCATGGTTTACCGAAACCAGAATTTGCTTCGATATATGATTCTCCTCATGCTTAATTAGCTTGTTGCTTTCCTTTACACAAAATCAACTAATCACGTTTAATAGGCCAGCAATTATCCCATATCACTTATTACATCATTCACTTAATTAAATATCACATCGTTAAAGCAAGAGGGCTAGCATGCATACATTGAGGGTACAATATCCAAAAAAACTTAAACAACCCATCCAACTGTTATGAAAATATTATTATTATTATGGATGACCAACATTAGATGCTCCATGGTATGTTACAAGTTCTATGTAACTCACCTCCTTATATTTATTTCTCCATATGACACATTAGATGCACAATTGGGTGTTACATGTAACCCCCCACCTCATTTCTATTTCACATTCATTCTCACATTCATGTATATTGATTGTAAGAATGTAGAGATTATGTGTTGTGTGCCTATAAATAGATGATCTCGTTGTACTAGGGAATATATGAATAAGAAAGCTCTATTCCCCCTCTCTTCTTGTGTCTCTACTCTTACTCTTGTGTATGTTCCTCTTCCTTGTCATTTCACAACACGTTATCAGCACGAAGCTCTGCCAAAGTCATGGTTGGTGATTGTCTCTCTACAGAATCAAATATACTTGAGTAAGATCACAACACAATCAAGGTATACAAATTTTCATGTCGTTTCTTGTTAGTATGTTTATCTATCTCAATGTCTTTAAGAGATTATTTGATCTTGTTATTTGTTCCTATAATTTTATGAACTTATTTTATATATGTGGATCTTGTAACAACAATGTCGGAATATGAGTTACCATTGCAATGAAAAAATACATGGGAAGTTTGGATAATGACAATCAGCAAATGTTTCTTTTCACCGGAAGTGAAAAATAAAATAATTATAAATGAGGATGATAATTCATGTAGCAAAAGTCATGATCATATACTGTAATCTTCGTATGCCGAAATGTGTTATGAAACACATATATGTTGTTATAATAATAATAATTATTATTATTATTTTGTATGTTTTTGTATAGAATTGAATATTTGCAGAAGTCAATACTGGTACTATATCATATAGTATGAAAGTAATCAAAAGCTCCGGAAGAGATTGTGTTTTGTTACTTGAAGTAACTAAACAATATATTGGTGATATTCATAGTATGTAAATATTCTTATCACTATGTATATGCGCTTACAATAGTTTACTGAATCAGAAGGTGCCTCATGGCCAAAATGTAGTACAAGAATATGTGAAGGCTCCAGAAGAGCTAATGTTTTGAGACGTGAATGAACTAAACTGTCAATTGAAGATGTATTACCGAATTCATAATTCAGTTGAAGATATTCGCAGAAACGAATATCATAATTGATATTGCATCAGAAATGTGTTCTAAGAGAACATATACTTAACTGGAGAAATTTGTACTACATGTATATTAGTACATATGAAAGTGTAAACCAGAAGTTTGCAAGATTGGATAACTTTTTGTTTTGGAATGTCCGGTCATACCATCCCGGATACCGATTCGAAAATGATTGAGATATCATACGGAAATTAAGTGAGAGTTTAGAGAATTCATCAATCAAAGGATTGATTATGTGATAAATGCCTCGAGGAGAATATACTCACTTGTGAAAATAATTGAATATGTTGAGATTTTATAAAAGTGTATGCAGAAAAATACACTCACCGTGCAAATCATATATGAATTTTATGATTTTGATTGATGCATCAACTATATCGTCATATATGTATGTTATCTAACCGCAACCTGATGTTTGCGAGATTCGTTGTCGATTGATGGATATATTTTGATGATTATCCAATCAAACAAAACTTCTCTTATGAGAACAAACTAAGTCTATCGATCTCTTATCGAGGCATATGATATCATTAATTCGCATGAAGCCAACAAGTTATCATAAGTTCTCCCCTTTCATACAAATGGTTTTGGTCAGGGACCAAACATTTAAAATGCTAGAAAATTTGGGTGTGCAGAATACATTCCAATTGCTCCACCACAACACGTTATGAGTTCCATGAGAACTTATGTTGGACATGGTGTCTATTGCAATGAGAGATTTGTTCATGACTCTTTTTGCTAATATCATCATTTTGATGAATTGCTTTTCGAACGTTAAGGGGGAGAAAAGTAAACACTGGGGCATAAATGTAGTTGGAATCATCATTATCTCATTTTGATCCTCAAACGAAGAAACATGAACCCGAAGTTCATATGGTGATTCATGGAGAAAAAAACGTATTGATTGCCAAACGCCTTTTTACTCACTAAAAGGAGTGATTATGTCACATGCCCAGTTGTGAATGCTCCAATACAAATTGATGTCCATATTTCTAATGAGTCTAAACGAGCGCATGAAGCGTGGTAGACCAATCGGTTCCAAGGATAAAAATCCTCGAGAAAGCAAGGAGCTATAAATTAAGATGGTAAACTCGAGGATAAAATAGCTCTCTAGAAGAGTCAAGTCATAAAATTGAGATCATAGTTCTAGAAGAATAGTAGGTACCTGAACGTTTTAAAATGAAGAGATCTCAATTAATTGGCTTGTATGAAAAAAGTTGGAACCGAAGTGTATTTATTGTCGACAAGGGTTTTGATTATGCTGTAGCACTGAACGTGATAGATACAAAGAGGATCAAAAGTAAAAGTCTATTGATGCATGCAAAGGAATATATATTGGCCAACATAAAAGAAAGCATTAGACTATTTGGTATAAGTTTTGGACCAGAAGTCTTTACACCTGAAGATGTAAAACTAACGGGATACAAATAGGTTTTGTGCAAATGCGTATGGAAATTGCGAGAGATATAATACAATTTCTCGTGAGAGGTTTCTGGTAGAAACCTGACATCAATTATGAAAAGACATACTCTCTTGTGGTGGATGCAACTATGTTGTGCAATTTAAATAGTTTGGCAGTTCAAAAAGCATGAAATTTGCATTTGGTAGATATTGTGATAGCCTGTTTGTATGGATCCCTTGATAATGATTATTATAAGAAAATCCCTGAAGGATTAGTTTTGCCAGAAGCAAACATGTGACATTCTCGAGAACAATATCGATCGATAAAACAATCCTTTGTATGGATTGAGATAAAATGGTTGAATATGGTATATTCGTCTAAGTGAATATCTACTAAAGAAAGTGGTCGAATAAGCATTGCGTGATTAAATTCGAATAAAGTGCATTAGAGCATTTGCATTTGGCATGTGTGATTGTGTAATGACATATAGGCTTATGTGCGTGATATTGTGGTTTTAGTTATGAGTTTGATTTATGAATATGGTTTGGTTAAGTGATATTGTGTGTATGACGTGCCTTTTGCTTGTGACCGTGTGGTATGAAGTAATTGTTTGTATACAATTGTGTTAGCTAAGTTTTATAGTTATTTGGAAGAAAAAAGTCGAGAAATTATTTTATAATGATCTCATATCTTTTAGTTGATATGAACTCCAGAAGAGCTTCATAAAGCATGTTTTGCTTAATGAAAGAAAATTGAACTCAAGAAGAGTTTCATGCAACATGGATTGCTTAAAGAAAGAAAATTGAACATGAAGGATTTAAGATCCTTTTTGGATCAGTATGACAATGTCGGAA